AGCAACAAAGTGCACGCTAAGGCATATTAACAAAACAAAGCCCAAAAATGTCTGTCTCTCTACTTTTTTTTGTTGAATCCGTGATAAGAAACTTGATCTGAACAACAAAAACATTTTGGATAGCATGGTAATACGCTCTTCGATCAACAGTCGAATGTGATCGAACTAATTCACAATCAAAGTCGCATTTTGACACAAAAACGGGATACACATTTATCAAAACTGTCGCTTCCGTGCAACTCGGTACAAGATAATTTATATACCAAAACAAAGCCCAATAATTTTTCTTCCACTACTTTATGATTTCTTTTTGTACCGAGTTGCACGGAACATGCAGTAGACAAAATGAGCAAAAATTACCCACCTTTTCGGCATGTCTTTCACATGCAAACCAGCGATCTCAACGTCAATAACGCTGAATCAGACCATGCCAATGCGTTTTTTCTCCAGTTTCAGGGCGCTACATTCTCTAGAGAACACACTTACGTCAAAACTTTGACCAAAATAATTTTTGATCTCTTACAGTGGCAGGAAATTGCAACGCTCTCACTGCCAAAAAAAGCTGCCATCAACTTCTTTCATCTCAACAACATTTCGCGGGTATTTTTGCCTCGGAGCCAATGACATTGCCCGAAATAGATCAAGTGACATTTTTTCCAAAGCATGCGTAGACATTTTCGCCGGTGAAGTGTTTGGCTGCAAATGATATTCTGCACATGCGTAAAGGAAACCGTGCTTTTCTCCTTGTTGTGATCGCCCTTGCGTGAAAATGACAGATCGCTTCGCTTGCCGAGGATATTCATTAAAAACAAACAAACAAACTCGGTGATCGAATGATAAAACAATTATTGAACTCGGTTATCGCAAAATATCGTGATTTGTCAGTGTCTCGATCGCAGATCAATTATTTGCCTCAGCCTGCTCGCCACAGACAAATCACGATATTTTGCTCAACCTCGTCCAATAATTGTGAATTATCTCGAATATCTTACCTGAATAAAAACGCAACGAGCTGAAATGCTCCGTTAAGATAGCTTTTATATTCCTCTCAATAATCGTGAAGTGACAAGTTCCAAACTTAAGTATTTTGCTTGTAATTCGAAAAAAGGCGATCGTTCTCGACGCTCCTTGGTCCGCGACTCTTGTAAACAGCACGAAAAGTATGTAAGAATGCGACACCTTCCCTACGAAAACGTAATTTTCACAATATATATTTCATGTATTTTTTTTATTCTTGATACAATTATGCTACAAATTAATACTCAGCGCTCAGCGTAGGTAAAAATAAAAATACAGCACCTTTTTGCCCTATGAAAATTCAAAATAATATAGAGAATATATTCGATGCTGTCGAAGATAATTACAAAAAACTCTGTATATATTCGAGATATTAGGGAGTTTAAGATACGGAGACTACGGACTACGAACTACGGCTTAACGAGCGTTGTCCTTTTTTTTGTAGCACTGGGTTGAGTCTAGCCTCCCAGGCAGGCGTTTTTAGGGGAGCTCGTTTTGTGGGGAGGGATGAAAACGAGCTCCCCTAAAAACGCCTGCCTGGGAGGCTACTTTGAGTCGTGTAAATATAGAACGTTAAGACTGCAATACAGACAGTAAACTACGAGAGAAGAGGCGGAGAGGGAAACAACACGCAAAGATTTTCTAATTGTTTTCATCACAGTTCACAAAAATGCAAGTCAGTTTTGCATGTGATCTTATCTTTAAAACAATGAACAAATTCTTCCATACTTGAAGGAAGCAATTACGTCGGGTGAAATTGGTGAACAAAGTTTTGGTTACACAGGTTTTATTTTTTTTCTCCCGTGAATACTTATGTCAAATATTAAAGAAATAGACAGAAATAGTAATAGCTCATTTATTAGATTTAGAAGATGGACTTCTCCGACTACTGATCTCATCTAGGTTGAAGTATTGAAATGCCGAGTTTCGATTGTCTCGAAGATGTTTACATCATTTTCATTCAGCAAATGCGATACGGAAACTCGCATAAACAAAGGTTGCACAAGTAGAAAGACACACTAATCAGTTCAAACAAACATTGAAACTTTTTAAGTGCAAAGAGAAAGTAGATTACCTGCATGATTTCTCTTCTCCTCGGCCGTCAATCTGAATTCTGCGTGTAAACAGCTAAGCTTATTTAAATATGAGCTTAGCTGGATAAAAATGTAGTCACAACAGTGAATTAAAAGCGTAAATCTGAGCAGAAATTAGACACAACTTACATATTTCGCTTCCCTCTCACTTAAAGCAACTTTTTTACGAAAAGACGAGATTCTTGAATTACCGAGACGGCAAAATGCGAGCAAAATGCTCTCCGTAGTCGCGACAACGCGAAACACCTCAACAACTCACCGTATACCCCAGGACTACGCGGGAAAAACGAACAGTCACGTGGTTTTGATCATGCGCAGTAGCATGTTTAACGGTAGTCGTAGTCCGTAGTCGCCGTATCTTAAACTCCCTATTAAGAAAAGAGAACTTGTAAACATGTATAAGGAATATTTTCAACACATTTCCCTTTTGTCAATCAAAAGGTTTCATTTATTTTGCAAAATGTAATTACACCAAAGTCACAGGTCGCCGACAGAGGACCACTGCGCGAAATCAAGAGTCGACAAAACAAAAAATTCAAAGTCTGCAGCAAATTTGTTTCCAGCGGCAGATAATGTTTTATCTGAAAACCTGTCCTGCAAAAAGGCACTTCTTCCTGTAGCGTTTTATTTATTCACAAGCCAAGTAAACATGACCATGTAATTTACAGTCCGCAAAAGTACAAACTTCAAGAAAGACAAATAAACCCGCCTTTTTAAAAACTCAGTAAATTTCGCGTCTTCAGCAACAGCAGGAAAGCGAAACTTCGCCATATGAAAGAAAACTAGGCAATCAATAAATCATCTGACACATTCATTTTTTTTTCAGTATTATTTTCTGGCGAAATATTTCATCATGTTCGGAAACGTCGCGGACCAAGGACCACATACTGTATTTAAGGACCCCAAGAAAATAAAGAAAATGTCTGCACATGGCAACGAAACAAAATTTGCGATTTTAAATTTCAAAGAAAGTTTTGATCAATGTATGGCATAATTAACTGCCTTTTTACGTTATAAACGGGAAACCTATAAAACTTCCTGAACACCTGGGCCGAGTTGTTCAAAGCTAGGTTAAGATAACCCTGGGTCAGTGCGAGATTTGAATTCAGATTTGAAACCTTAAAAAACATTTCAGCTTTTAATTCTTTTTGTCTTCGAGTTGATGATTGGAAGCTCTGAAAATAGCAAAGAAAATTATCCGAGAAAACGCTTTCGAACACAAGAAACAGAAATTCGGGTTAAATTTAACCCTGGGTTAAGCGCTAATCGGCCTTCTAATAGCCTGTTCCAGGCGTTCAGATAGTAGAGGGCGGTGGTAAGTGGGGGGGCGAGTTAAGTTGTACACCGGGTAAACGGGGGGGGACGGGTGGGCGAAAGCGAGAGTTTTCTTCCCCTTTCCCCCTCTAGTCTTTTCTCGTTTTTTTTTTTCTTCGTGAATTTTTCTCCCGCGCTCTACTATCTGAACGCCTGGAAGAGGCTAGCCTTCTAACAACTGGGCATAGTATTTTATCTCGTTTCTTCTTCTTCTTCTTCTTCTTCTTCTTCTTCTTCTTCTTATTGTTGTTATTATTATTATTATTATTATTATTATTATTATTATTATTATTATTGTTATTATTATTATTATTATTACTCAGTCCTTTCAAGATGCGGCTTGAAGATGTCTTTTCATTGACTGTAAGTATCTGCTAGAATAAATTTCCGCTTTTTAGGGGAAATTGTGTACAATTTGAATCACGACACGTTTAAGTGAATTTTTAAGCTCTTCTTCAACATTTGGGATCTGATCAAGTTTTTGCATAGTTGTCAAAAGTCCATACCGTATTTTAAGTTATATGATTTGAAATCATATGCAGCGTTTATGAAAGTTTTGTGTCTTTTTAGTTCCAATCTTTCTTATAAAAAGAATCAAAGAAAAGGAGCGGCTTTTGTCGTCTATATTCTAAATGCGGTTCTTAGTCCAGGGCTACCCATTTTCAAGTAAATGCAGTGTGCCAATTACTCCAAGTTCCCTAGCAACAAATTCAAAATAATTTGTCGTTTAATTAAGAGAATTTCAAACTGTATGTTATTGCCAGTGGAAATAAAAGTGCACAAAGTGCCGTCAGAACCGTACAAAGAGCTCGTCAAATTGTCAACGGGTGCGAGCCATTTAGAGTTTAACTAGTGCACAGAAAAAAACCATGATTGATGTGTTTCTTAAACTGCATTATTTTCTTTTAACCTCACAGAAAAAACAAATTTCTTCGACTTTTTAAATGAATATATGTATTTTAACAACGTGGCTAAGTTAGTTTTGATAAATAAAAGTATGTACAACTGAGACATGCTTTTAATCCTTCGAATTTCTTATCGTACACTGAGCTCTTACATTGTGTCATATATCAATCACCTCATGGATATTCAATTGGACGATGTTCGACATTAGTCATTTCTACTGCCCATTGGAACAGGTGAAATAACAAATTCGTGTCAATATTCTGATCTGTCAAGTATCGTTGTGTACATCGAAGTTCTAGAATACGATAAGCAATGTCTCTTTGTTAAAGTTTTACAAAGAGGCTTACGTATTTAAAAGCCTTTTTAGGTAAACGGTTCAAAATCGAGACTTGTACGTGACTGAAAGACGCTTAACTTAGTGTGATATCAGACCAATGATAACTTTTACAGCATAAAGTTGTTGAGTCACAATTAGTTTCCAAAATAATTTACCACGACGCAAGTCAAATAAATGCAAAATTTGTAATTTAAGGACGTGCAATTTTCTGTCAAGCAGAGTAAACAGCAGTTTTCAAAAGACAAATTTTGAGAAAAGGATTTGAATTTGCTAAAGTCATCACGATCCAACGCTTTTCTGAAGTCAACGGTAAAGAAATCAAGTTTCCCAGGATGGCATCGGCAAGCGATGTATCCCTAGGTGTTATCAACGGTTTTTTCAGCGTTAGTGGTAGCATTTTGAACATCCTAGTCACCGTAGTTATTCTAAAGCACACTGAACTTCAAAAGGGACTGAACTTCTTAATAGTGTCCTTAACCGCCGCAGATCTCGTCAATTGTCTTGTTGCTCAACCAATGTACGTCTACTACCTTAGCCGTGGCAGAGAAGCTAGCACCCGCTTTCTTGAGGCATTTGAAATCATCGCTTACATCGGTCTTCATGCGGTGGTCTCCAACCTCATAACAATTACCTATCACAGGATGATGGCTCTATCACGACCATTTTCCCATCTTTTGCAGGTTTCTAGAAAGGACCTTCTCATCGGGATACTTTTAACATGGGTGGTTTCCATCATCGTAGGCGTTATATTCGCTCCGTATTTACCAGGTAAAGTGGCAGGAGCTTATTTCCACGCGGTCATGATAGCAGTATTAGTCCTAACTTACGTAAGGATTTTGTTGATGTCGAGGAATAAACGCCGACAAATCGCGGAACAGGTGGAAAAATTGCCTTACCGACACCAAGCTGCTACGATGGATCAAGAAAACACAGCGGCCGTGACCTCTGCCATCTTAGTTGGTACTACGTTACTGTCCTTCGTCCCTGATGTGACGCTCGATTTGATAAGCTGGGAAAAGGCGGCAACTAATAGGCTTCAGTGGAATTACACGTTACTTTTTACTTGCGCAGCTCTGAATCCCTGTATCATTATTTGGCGAAGCCACCAACTTAGGAGGGTGCTACTCCAGACTATTCGGTTCGCACACTGAACTGTGACAAGTCTCTTAAGATAAATCTAGGTTAATATAATCCAGATTCCTTGGTTTAGGTAGTTGGATCTGTTCATAAAATCATTATATATGACGTCCATTTCAGTCCATGGATCCTAAAATGAACAGTGCTCCGATAAATGCAAATTAAGACCACAACTCAACGGCTGTTTGAAAGCCACTGCTTGCGTTATATAGAGCTTATTGACAAAGTTAGGCCTTTTTTCAAAACTTCAATGTGCAATTACTGATAATTCGGTTCGCAACTAGGTGCTTCTGATTATTTCCGTTTTCACATCCCGAAAAGTGAACTTAATAATGAGTGAATTTCACTTTCTCTCTATTTTGCATTTTGCTATAACTTTTAGTCAAAGCAAAAGGTGTTTAAGTAATTGCCTCATCAGTTATAAATACTAATACTCGCTCTGTAATTTATCATATACTGGCTCACTTTTAAGTGCGGTGAGTGTGTGTTTTAAGAAATAAACCTTTAGTGTTAATATAGATGTATGAGATATATATATAGGTGTAAATTTAATTTTTGTTTAGTTTTTGGAATACGGCAATGTATTAAATACATGATTTTAAGAGAAATAAAAATAAAATTCGAACCAAAGAAAAAACTGAACCATAACATATACATCAGGTATCTCAGCATTAAAATTAAATTAAATTTAGTATTTTGACCATAACTCAGAGCTGAATAAGTCATTTTGTCCTGCTTTTGAGATGTAACTGAGTTATTAATGTCAGATGTGAATACACTTATATCAGGAAAACGCCAAAACCAGCCTTTCACGGCAAGATAAATCGGGTCTGGAGATTACATTTAAAGCCATAATGTTTTTCTGTCTTATATAGAATACTATTATTTGAGAGTAATATGGGGAGCAACGACACAACTGAAACACTGTTTTCCTTTATTATGTAGAACAGCTGTCATGAAGTAGAATTTAAAAATATCAATCTACCAGTCGATAAAAATTTCCATAAAATTGAATGCTTTATTTTTTGTTATTATCATTATTATTATTTATTTATTCTTCAGCAGTTCATTTTGCGTCATCTTAGCGCTTGGAAAA